CTTGTAGATCTCCAGTGTGTTGAGCCGAAGTGGGTGATGCACCTTTGTTGGGTCCAAAAGTGGTTTGGAAAACGACAAAAAAAGTTACACTTATCCGTAAGAGGTTGGTTACAGCCCCGAGTCGCCAGAAAAGTTACGCCGACCGTTGGAGGAGACCCTTGTCTTTTAAGGAAGATGATCACGTCTTTTTGAAAATATCACCTAGGAGGGGTTTGATGAGATTTGGGAAAAATGGAAAGTTATACCTTCAGTTTATTGGCCCTTTTGAGATCCTTGAGCGGATCAGAGAGGTTGCTTATCGTTTGGCATTGCTGCCATAACTTTCCGGAGTGCATGATGTGTTTCATATTAGTATGTTTCGGAAATATGACCCGGATCCGTCGCACGTGTTAGATTGGACTGACTTTGAGGTAGATGAGGATGCCACGTATGAGGAGAGACTGGTGAGAGTCTGGGATAGACGGGACCAAGTCTTGCGAGGTAAGACAATTCCTTTAGTAAAAGTATTGTGGAAACATCACAGAGTTGAGGAAGCAACTTGAGAGCGTGAATTGGAAGTTCGAGAGAAGTATTCGGACTTGTTTGTTGATGCTTGAACATGTATTGTATTGTGATTATGATTAGTAGAATGTGAGAACATTGTATATGTGGTTTACATTTTGAAAACATGAGTTTATTATAACATTGTATATGTTTGAGGATATGGAATATCATGGGTATTGTATCACCTTGGGAAGCATTGTATATGTTATATAAAATTTTGAAAATTGGGATTTTGACTTAAACGTTGCACATGTTTGAGAGATTGTAAAATGTACTTTTAATGCGGGACTTGTGTATCGAGTTAGTGAGTGTGGATGACCGGAGAATAGTGGTGATGAACTTGTAAGAATAACATTGATGTGAATGGTTTAATTATGTTTGTGAACTTGGTTTGTAATTTCGGAGACGAAATTCTTTAAGGAGGAGAGGTTATAGCGATTCCGGTTCTTGGCTCGTCACCTGTTGTGTTCTAGACTTGGATTGTATAGTTCTAAATAGTGATTCATATCTTGTTTCCCTTGTTCCCCATTTATTTTGGTTATCGGGTTGTGGTTGTGTGTTTGAAATAGGTTGGTTGCGTGTTTTTCCAAACCTGTGTTGCCTAGATTTTGTCTCTTTTGCTCGAGCGGACATTCTTGCGCTCGAGCGGGCTTAATGAATTTTGTTCCTCTGCTTGCGCGACCATTCTTGCGCTCGAGAGAGATTTGTCAACTTTCAGTATTTTTGCAGCTCTGCAAATACTGGGAGAATGCATTGGACGCTCGAGCGTCCAGACCCACGCTTGAGCGGGGTCCTTCGTTTGTAAAACTTCTGGAAATGTGTATTCTACGCTCGATCGCCATTTTTTACGCTCGAGCGTCATTTTCAACACTCGAGTAGACTGCGTGTACAATAGTCTGTGCAGATGACATTTTCAATCACTTTTTCATATCACTCTCTCTCTCTAAAACTTCTCAAAAAGCTAGATCTTGAGTTTCTCTTACTAAAACTTATATTCTCTCTTCAATTTCATCTAGATCCGTTGATCTCTTCACCCTAGTGCCTTTGAGAAAAATGTAGAGTGCTTCAAGATCTTCATTTTGATCCGAATAGAAGTGAGTTTCGGTGTTTTCGAAGTTCCATCCTTGCTTGGCTTATCTTCTCCTTTTAAGGTAGGGATATTCCACACTTTGTTATGATCGTTAACCTAGTTATTTGTTGTTATGTATAAATGGTGAGATTTAGGGTGTTTGGAGAAAACCTACAATTTTGGGTTCAAGTCTAGAAAGAAGGGTTTCTATGTGGGGTTACAAAATTGATCATGGAGTTTGGTTATGAGCCTATCTTATGTTAAAATAGTTGATTTTAACTATTGTGTCAATATTTGGGAAATGAGGAGTTTTGCCCTGAAATGTTTGGAATAATTATTTTGTATAATTAATAGAATTAGTATAAAAAATGGGAAATTAGAAAGATATATGAATGAATAGTGTAGTTGGATTTGTTTAATCACTCACCTATGGAAATTTGATGAATTATTTGTTATAAAGATTGCATATCTGTATTGGGCTATTGGTGGAGGATAGCTCTGATTGTTGTAGAAATTGCATAATGATTAGGTGAATTAAAACTAATCACTTAAATTGTGTCATTGAATATGACCGTATGATAAGGCATTGAATATGCATAGTTGATAGTCATTGAATATGACGATACTTTTAAATACATTATATATGTATAACATTTTGGGAGGAGAAAGGGGATGTATTCCATTGTTTGAGAGGAGATATGAGATGGACTCCATTGAGAATTAAGTTGGCTGGAGTGTTCAAGGTGAAAGTCCTGAAATCTTATGTATATATGGGTGCCGATCCCGCGGACGAAATTTCCTTAAAATGACATGGTTGAAGTGCTTGTATGATAGTTATGTGGATTGAAAACCACCGAGTTGTAGTCTCGGTTGAGGTTATCTGGAAAATTATGTACTTGGTATGTGACTTGAAAGAAATGAATTAATTGGAAATGAATAAATGGAAATAGTTTGAGGTGTGAGTATCAGTACTGAATGGTCATGAGAAGAATGTACATTGGTCATAAATCTTGAATGTTTATCTGACACATATATCTTAGTTAAATCTCATATATTGTGTTAGACTATCTCTATTAGGCTTTGGCTCACCCTACTTGGGAAACCATTTTCAGGTACCGGTGACATACTTTTTCCAAGGACGTAGCTTGGAAAGACTTATGAGCTGGAGGCTCTATTTTGTTGTTTAAATGTTTAGATGTTTATTTAAGCCAAGGGCTTTATATGTACATAGCTTATGACCCTATTTTATTGTAACCAAGTAATGGTGCTGTTTGGTGTAGCTGTTAAAATAGATTATAGATTATACCTTAATAGATTATAGATTATGACTTTAATCAAAAGTTGTTAATCTGTTTGGTATAACTGTTGGATTATAGATTTAAGTTGCTGAGTAATGTTTGTTAAATAAGCTGTGAAGTAGCATTTTCAATTAATTTTTATTTTTTATTATTCACTATTTGTCTGCATTTCTCATAAAAAATAATAATAATATTTTATAGTTCATTGGGTCTTTTTCTATTTTTAAAAAAATAAAAAATAAAAAAATTTAAGAGTATAACCGTAAATTAACACGTCTACAGCAGAAGTTGATAATCAGAAGCAAGGTCAGCTTCTCAGAATCAGTTTTTTTGACTTAACATAAGTTGTTAGTATCAGAAGGTGTTTGAAATAAGTTTAACCAAACAGTCCAAAACAACTTTTTAAAAGTTAGAAGCCATAAATTGGCTCAAAAAAGCCCCACCAAACACCCTGAATGTCTTGGAAAGATGTAAATTCGTAGGACATTTATTTTGTTATAATTAATTGGTATTACATGTTATAAATTCAGAATAAACATTTATGAATGTATGTTGCATGTATTATTTTTTATAATTACGAACTCTGATGAACGAAAGTATATTAATTCTATTACGTTCACTTTTCTTATGAGTGGATTATTTGTAATTTTTCTTGGAAGCGTTACAAATAAAAACAAAAGAATACAAAAAAAAATATTAAATAACAATTAACAATTACTTTTTGTCGATAAAATAAGAAAAATACAAAAAAAAAAAAAGAAAAAGAAAAAAGAAGATGGAAGTGGAACTAACGATGGCTGGCAAAATTGGGTAGGCGTAATTGGGAGTGGGGCTGGAGAGACATGTAAGCATTTGTCCATAAATTGACTCACATGCCACATGATTTTTATTTTTATTATTATTATATAATTGGCTTGCGAAATTAGAATTGGAATTGGAATTGGATAGGGGGAAGTGGGAGTGGGGCTAGAGAGATGTAAGCATTTCTTCATAAATTGGCCCACATGCCACATGATTTTTATTTTTATTATTATTATATAATTATTGTATATATTTTATTCAACAAATTAATTGGGTAATTAATGTAGAATATGCCCACTACTCAATAAATCGAAATTATAACTTTCTAATGATGATAAATTATGAGAAGTTACACTTAGATTATGGGTCCAAGTCTATTTATATGTATATATAGCCTTTAAAACACAAACGTCTTATGAATATAATAGACTTGAAATTCTGTTCTTTTCACTTCTCGATATGGTTCTGTGAGAGTGTTTAGGGTACTTATAAATTTGTGAGTGATTTTATTTATACATTCAAGTATTGATCAATCAAGAACGTGATTCAAAAATTTGAACAACATGACAAGAGGTATTCAGATTTTTTATTAAATTATTTAAGTTCTTACAAGAGAGCCATGTTTGGTACAAATTCTAGCAAGCTCAAAATAACTCATCCTTTATTTTTTAAAATAGAAATTGTCTCAAAATGAAAAACTATAAACAAATTCATGAGCTGTACCAAACAATTCCAAATAGAGAAGCGGCATTTTTATCATTTCATAAGTGGATTCCACCTTTTGTAATTATTTTTTATTCTATCATTTTGTAATTTTTTCCTAAATATTCTAAAAAAAAAAAACGAAATTTAAACTGCAAAGGAGAAAAATTTGAATACATAAAACCCCTGACCATAGTTCTAAATACTGGCTGATAAGTTACGTATTGAAAAAATAGAGTACCGCGACGGATACAGGTCGGTACACCGTTGCGGTTGAAAATCGCAGGAGTATCGGCTGACTTCTGGTACGTATCGGTTTGTAATTGTTACACAAGCCGCGATGGGCCGATACTTACTAGTTCGGACCGGTACGGGAAAGAAAAAACTGAAAAACCTATGAAATGATTTTTAAAATTTCACCGCTGCGACACCCGATTCCCGATACGTACCGATACCGATACTCCGTGATCGATACCGTTATGTTACCCAATACCGCGATTTAGAACCTTGCCCCTTACCCTCATCAATTTTTATAACAAGAAAGCAAAGAAAACTGCAGTGATTAAGTACCCACCCAACAACATTACTTATAGAAATAGTTCTCCAAGGATTCGGAGTTTTAATATAATAATTGTCCATGGTTTTCCAAAGATCCAAACCATAACAAGTTCAAATCGTCAAACAAACATACAAAAAACTAAAACAAACTGATTGGATGGATTCCTAGGAGAGGAATATGCATACCATGGCTGGTTGGTTGTTCTCTACTGCTTAACATGGCAACCATCCTGGCATGTAATTATTCACACTCGGCCCTGCTGCCGCCGCCGCCGCCGCCGCCGCTGTTATTGGATCATTCTGGTATCTGAAATTCAATGAAAAACAATTAATCATCAAGGACACAAATTTTCATTATTTATTAACAGAAACAAAAAACAAAAGAACAAGCAAGAAAACATCAATGCGAAAAGAACACATCCACTTATGTTGGCACCTAAACTCCGCTAATCATGTGCTAACCGAGGCCCAAAAGAAGAAAAGTTAGCAAGAGACCAACAAGAAGTAAGAAGCCAAAACAAGTCGAAGGAGAGGAAGACAAATTGTCCAAAACACCAAAAATGAGGTAGATTGGTAAACATTCATATGGTATCTGCAGGAATGAGATTGTTTTGTCTTCAAATCTCTTGGTCTCCTTATCCCCCAAACATTTATGTGTTGTGTTTGGTTAGGAATTTAAAAATGAAATGACAAATGGAGAAAAAAATTATATTATCAGTGGTTACATAAATCAATTAGTGTAATAATTAGTATTTTGATATTATTATTCACCCCATCCATTATACAAGTTACAAATATCCAAAACTTTTAAAATTATGCCACATCATTTGTTAGTATACTAATTAGTACACTGATTGATACATATAACATTATTCATTATGTTATATTTCATTGGTATTTGTCTCATTTGTTTCCTTTTTATTTTTAAATCTCTACCTAAATCTATAATCCAAACACAATCTCAAAAGATAGAAAACATAGAGATTTGAGATTTGAGAATCTCTTGCCTAATTGAATTCCCAATATATATTTTTTTTTAATGCACTCTCAACTACACAATGTTGTGAGAATCTTGAAACACAAGATTTAAGACACGTTCGTGCGACTAAGAGTGCATCAAAATATGATTACCCTTCTAACTGTCTACTTTCTGTACTTATACATATGGGAATAAGAAGATGAATCAATTTTATTTTGTGTGAAACCCCTTTGCTAATATCTGCATGACAAACTAATAGAAATTTCACTTCATCATAATTTGAAACTAGGAATTTGTTGAAGTAACCATTATAATTTGAAACCAGAAATTTCACTTCAATTCCAAAAAGTTATCTATATATATATTGCGTACGTAACCATTTTATAATTAAAAGAAAAGCTATACAAGCTCCAAAATGCGGCAATTAAAGATCAAAAGACCTAACTTCTAAAATAAAATTCCTCAACCTGAGAAACTATATCATAGAAAATCATGTCATCAGCTCGATTCAAATTGTCAACACTTTTTTTTTTAATGAATATTTTTTCTAAAAAGATAACATTTGTATTTAAAAATTAAAACAAGCTATAAGATTATGCGCCATAATAATTTAGGGATTGTTTGACATTTCTTACCTGGACATATCTTTTTATTTTTATTTTATTTGGGTCATATTACTTTTTTTTTATCACTTTGCACATTTTTTTATGAAATGTTAAAAAAATATATTTATTTAGATCATTTTAAATAATCTGCAGTGAAATAAAAAAATAAAAGAAATTGAAACCAAAGATAAATGTTATTTGGACATACCCAATTTGTAATGTGGGTTCACACTCCAAGGGGTGAAAGAAGGTGTCACCCTGAGGCTGAACTGGTTGTCTGCCGTAGCCCACATCTTGTGCACTTAGATTCCATTGGAGTGAATTTATTGGATTTCCTCCCAGCAGCTGGCAAAAGCACCACCCAAAAACTCAACGGAGATTATTTATTTATAAAAAGCCATAATACTCTTTCAGTTGCAAGTGTTTAGTCAATTCATTTGATACAGTGAGAGACGAAAATTAAATTCCAGACTTAAAATATGTAGTTGAATAGTTATAATATTTAATAAGTATGCATGGATATATACTAAGATTTCATACTCTGTGCATAAGATTTCCTAGGTGACTATCACGATTCCCAATTGTCTGATTTGGTATCGTATGTGAGTTCTGATAGTATAAGAATCAAGCGAGTGGGGAAAAAAGTCAAGCACACATCAATTAGCAGCAATGCTATGCATCCATAAAAAAAAATAAAAATAAATTGAAGAGTACATATTTGAAAATGACACATTATAACAAATATTATATCACTTTATGAGGTTAATCTTGATGGTATATGTAAATCTGAAGAAAAAAAAGAAAAAAGAAAAAAAAGTCAAATACACATCAATTAGCAGCAATGCTATGCATAGATTAAAAAAAAAAAAAAAATTATATGCGTTTGTTAGATAGTCGTGATTAGTAGGATACATAAGGTATGCCATTTTTAAAAAATGCCAACAGTTCTAAAAATATTCAAAAAAAATATTTACAAAATGCTCATAATTAAAATGTGTTGATTAAATTTATTTTGGGGTTACCCATATCACCCCCAATTTAAATTTACATTACAGGTGAGCAATTTTTTTTATGCATTTTTTCTAAATACTTTGTATTTTTACTAGAAGCAATAAAACTATGTGCCCAAAAAACAAAAAAAAAAAAAAAAAAAAAAACCAAAGAAAAATAAATTTGTGATCATTGTTATTGTGGGTGGTGATCCCCATCACATGTGCATATTTATGTGATTTCTTTCTATATAGGTAAAATAAATAAATATATCTTCTGATTATTAATTCGACATCAAGAATGTAGGTGCATACCCTTTGTTTCAGTGTATTGTTTGCTTCATTAAGGGCGTGTTCCTGCAATTTAAGAAATTGAAACAGATGGATGAAGTTGGTGAGGAATCTGCAATAAGTAAATAAGAAGGAAGCTTCACAATCTTTTCATGTACCTTTCTTTGAAGATCTGTGAGCTGATCCAGCATGTACTGGGTCTGCAGGCAGAAATAGAGGGATTCAAAATTTCTAAACTAGTATATCTCTAAAAACAAATTTTAAAAATAATAATAAAAAAATAAAATAAAAACCTCATAATTTTTATGTTATTATTATTTTTTGTACAAAAATAATGTTTGAAAATTCAAAAACAGCTTTTTGGTGTTTATTTTCACCAAACTAATTTTTAGTACTTTTTAGAAATAGATTTCGTATGCAATTTGCTTGGTTAATCATTTTTAGAAATAGTTTTTGTTTGGTTAAGCATGATAAACAGAAAAGTTAAATACCCATAATTTATGCACGCAGAATGATAATGTAGAATTCGGATTCAATTCTTATATAGTGAGACATACACTTAAAATAAATTTGAATCACTTTAATTTTCTCAATAAAAGTCTAGTCATAAACTCTGGATCATGTTAAAATTAAAATCACCTCAGTTTTAGTTCTCAATTCAATATAAAATTTCCAGTACTGGCCAAGTTTCTGAAGTAAAACCCTTTTTACGCTTGACCATGCTTATTACTCCTATTTTTATAGAATCCCATCATGCTGACCTATACATTTTTATTTATTTGTTTTTATATTTTAGTGATTTAATTATGTATATATAGACTTATTATTTAGACAATTATTTGTTATTTCATGTTTAAATTTGCAAAAAACGTTTGACACTTAAAACTCTATGAAATTATCCATGACAAGTGAATACTCTATAAATGATTTTAAGGCTGCCATGGCAGAGAATGCTGTCTAATCTCAATTTACAGTGGGAAGATCAAGTACCCGTGTCGATCTGATATGCTTCAATGACATATCAAGCTGCCTTTCCAGTGACTCAAGCTCCTTGCTGTTTAGGGGGCCAAGATCCTCACCCAGGAGATTCCTAACATGTTCCAGTTAAAGAAAATTATCATAAATATTCTAACCCTTTCAAGTAAACAACCTTAATCAACAAATTGTATTTATTTTTTGCTGATAAAAAAACCAAAAAAACAAAAAAGTTACCTTTGGGATCGTTGGAGGGCTTCGTAACGTGCTTTAAGTTTCAAGTACTCCTGCTGACTACTCAACTCCTATAACCACAGTTAAAACAATTTATGTGGGAAGATCATGGAAAGCACTGAATGCCCAACACTAGAAACAATAATACTATCAAGCTCAACTTGTGAGTGCTTGTTGTCTTCTCAGTTTTGGGTTCTAAATGTTAACAGAACACAACATCAGAGTATATAAATTGTTCACAAATGATCAAAATTAGGTTTACATTAGAAGTGCTATAGCCCAATAACATTGAAATAAATTAAAAAAAAAAATAAAATCAAATACATTAATAAATAAACTTGAATGTAATGGAGTTTAGCATGCATATTCATTGAGTTTTTGCATATATTTGGATTTGTAAGATATGGTTGTGAAGTAGCAGCAAAGGTAGTAGTGCAAAAAGCTCATGGTTTATGGGTATGATAAAAAGTTAGGCGTGAAATTTGTTGAGTTTGAAAGAAACAGAGAGCAGGGGTGATTCCATTTTCAAAAACCACAACAACCACACCCCAGAGAGGAGGTTCAGAGAGGCCCATATCCTTTCACTACTAAGAAGACATTTGCAGACGTAGTAAGAGGCGTTTAGGAAATGGGCAGTGATTCTGTTATAGTTAAGGTAGAGGAGTATGGTAATGGGTGGCTCTATAACAGTTTTGTAGTTCATCTAAAAGTCAAATATGTTAACATTAGTTTGAAGATTGAACTTAATGAAAGAGGAATAGATGGGTTTGAAGTTAGAAAAGGTGGATAACGAGAAGTGTTATCCTTTAAGTTCAAGGAGGAAATGGAGACAAAATTGAAGGCCATCAAAGATATTATTGAAGATAGGTGTGAAGACATCATCCAATGGAGGCCAAAGCTAGCTCTTGCACATGAGAGACTAGTATGAATTAGCTGTTATGGCATTCCATTACATTTATGGAATAGGTCCAATTTAATTAAGATTGGTAGCTTATGGGGAGAAGTTATTGAAGGTGCTGAATTCATGCCTCAGTCTTTCGATTATGGTAAACTTAGGATAATCACCAAGTGCATGGAACCTATTAACAAGGTTATCAACTTGGAGTCTAAGCAGTCTTCTCATCCAGTGAGAGTCTTGGAAGATCAGGTAGTAGTAACAAAAACAATCAATCAGTGCTGCAGACGTTAGAAGCATCAAGATGAAGAGAAGGATCATAGCTCAGATAAAGAGGAGGAGGATCATGACTCTAATAGAGATGGTAAGCCATTACAGAACCACATTGATGAGTCAAGTCACCCCATAGGAGGTGAGTCAGCTCAGGGATTTGAACAATACAAAATTGAGGCCAAATGAATGAAGACACGTGGGGATGACAGTGTAATAGAGGTGGACAAAGGATCACAATGGAAGAGTGATATGGAAGTGGCAGGGTCATGCAGCATAGTGGGTAAGGAGCTCGAGACAGAAGCATGCAAAGAACTGGTGGCAGTGCATTTAATGACTCAAAGCCAGCTAATTAGGGTCATGATAGGCAAGTTTACACGTCTGGTTTTATGAGAAGTTTAAGTGGCTCAAGTCTAAATAGGACTGGGCTGAGTTTGGAAGTGGTTTTGGGCCACAATAATTTTAATCATGAGTTGGGTGGGCTGAATGAAGTTCAGTTTGGGCTTTTGCTCTGTGATGCCCATGTAAACAAAAGAGTTGTTGGTGCTGGGCATGAGATTAGAGAGTTCAGTGTTTCTCAGACACAGGATGTCAGCTCAAAGTACAGGTCTGTAGCCTTGAAAAGCAAAAGTAAGGCAAAAGCCAAAAGGAAAAGAAAAGATCAGTTATATCTGGCTAAAAAAGGGTTTCTTCGGTTTGGAAAAAAGAATGGGATTGAAGGGTGCATCAATAAGCAAATCAGCCCCAAAAAGAGCTCTACTTAGAGCGTCTGTAGCTGAAGCCTCACTGTTAGCTTCAATTGACAGTGGAGGGGATAGAGACAAAAGAATCTTGGATGAGGCACAAACATGTTTGCAGATGGGAAAATTATTGGGTGTGGAAATAAATGGAAAGAAAGCTGAAGTTCTAAAAAAGATTGTAGAACTTGAAGTTAAAGATATAAGAAGGATAGAAAGGGGTAATGGTACAGTAGCCTAAATTGTATCCATTGAAGGAGGCTTATAGGTGTATATTTAATTACTATGAAGATCCTATCTTGGAATATTAGAGGAACACGTAGACAGGAAAAGAGGGGGAAGATAAGGAAAATTCTGAAGGAAAAAATGTTGTTGTAGCTTTATTTCAGGAAACCAAAAAATCTACAATAGTAAAAAAGGAAGTGTGAGGAATGTGGGCAAGAAACAAAATGGAATATTTGGCTGTGGACTTTGAAGGCCTAGCTGGGGAACTTCTCTGCATATAAGATCCAGAGGTATTTTAACTGAAGGAGTGTTGTTGCAATAGAAGATTCATTTTGCTCTCAAGTACTTTATTTTCTTCTTTTAATTGTGTTATACTTAATATATATGCACCTAATGAAGTGGGAAATAGGGGAAAGCTGTGAGATTGCTTGTTAAAGCTTAAGAGGGAGTTTTCTAACCCATGGTGTTTGTGTAGAGATTTTAATGAAATAAAAAGCATAGGGGTTGCTTTAGAAGAGATACCAATTCGCTTCCTCAAGAGTGTAGACACCCCATTTTTTACCGACCTTAAGACTTAGACGTCACCAGTTGAGCGCTCGGTGATGTTGCATATTGTGCTTGTTCTGAGGTTTCAGAGTCTCGGCTGAGAGCCTTGCTTCCGGACTTCGAGGCTCTTTTCGTGCCTTGCCTCGGTTTGCGAACTAGATCCTGTTTTCTCTTCCCGAAGGAAGGGAGAGGTCTCGTAGACCATCTCTTAGTGGCCGTAGGCTACGTTTCGTGGTCGTAGGACACTTTTCCCGTTTGGAGCCTAGTTTCTGGTTTTCGGAGCCGTCGGCCGTGTGCCTCGGTTCGAAACCGCTTAACTACCTCCGTTTGCTCCGGTTTTTGGCACACATCTTATTTCCTCCCTTTAGAGGAACACTGTGGCCCTGGAGACCACCTTCGTGGTCATACGCCACTTCCGGTGCCGAGCAGTCTGTTTTCGGGGCCCCGAACCACGCGTTTTGGCCCCCGAACCTTCGTTTTGCATCCGTTTTGGTCCTTTTTTGGTAGAGACCCTATTTTCATTGTTAGGGAGGTGGTAGGATGGTGGCCGGCCATCTTTTCCCCTAAAAAGTCAATTTTCTCATTTTCTCTCTCCAAAAGCCGATTTTTCTGACAAAAAGCTGATTTTTCTCACTTGTGAGCCACATTTTCTGGCTTTTCATACCACTTTTGTGTTGTGCTCATCTGGAATGCCACCAATATGGGTAGGCCGGCCAGAAATTCATCTTGATCCTTTTGAACCTTACTTAAAAGCTAGATTTTCTCTCTCTTGGGTCACATTTTCTGGTTTTTCTCTACATAGCTCTGTTCTACTTATCTAGGAGGCCACCTTTCTGGGTAGGCCGACCTGCAATTTTGCTTGAACCTTTTGACCCCTGGTCGGCCGACCAGGGGGGGTGGCCTGCCGGCCACTTGAACTGGCCGGCCTGCTTCTTGCTTTTTGCTTTTTCTAAGTGTAGTCTAGCTGTGCCAGCTGGAGACCATTTGGTGTATCCTCCATATACGTGTATGGAGGATACTTGGGACCTTTTTGGATATTTTGAAGCTTCTCCTCTATAAAGGAGAGGCTTGGCTTCTTGTTGAAGGGTTGAACACTTTTGCTTAAGGCTTATAACCTCCATCCTCCATTGTTACTATTCCAAGCTCCAAAACCCTAATTTTCTTGGTCCATTTGCACTACAATCCTTAGCACCACACCTCCATCATCCATTCCAGCACCTTGGAAGTCATTTGCAGAGGTTGAAAGCTCACCAACTTGGTCCAAAAGCTGCTGGAGGTCGGCTTTTCAAGGGTAAGTGTTTATTTCCCTTAAACTTGCATTTTTTTGCTTCATTAATTAGCTTCACTTGCAAGTATTTCTGGACTTTGTCATAAACTAGAAAGTGTCATATTTTGAGCTCCTCTTTAACTTTGTTTAAGGGAACTTTACTGTTTGAGGTCATCTACTTCCCATTACTCTCTATCTCTCTTTTAGGGCCATTTTTGCATCATACTTTAGCCTTACTTGTGAACTTTTTCGAGATTTTTTATAAACTAGAGAAAGCCTTGTTTTGACCTCCTCTTTAAGTTTTCTTGAGGTCACTTTTATGTTTGGAGTCATCTCCTACCTTGCATGCTTCATTCCTTCATATTTAGGGCTATGCATTAGAGCATTCGCATTGGACTTGTTTTGGCCTCTTAGCCATTGAAATTCAGGAGATTTTTAGTGGCTTTGATGAGGTTTTGAGCTTTGAAATCATAGAGGGGTGGCCCTCTCACCCCTCATTTTCTTTACTAGCATCATTGGCTTTCCAAAGGGGCTTTATTTTACATGCATTGAAGTCACTTTTTGGGCCTAATTTTATGGGTTTTAAGGTCTTCCTTAGGTCTGTCTGGAGCCCTTTTGATCATATTTTATGTTTATAGTGCATGTGTAGAACAATTCCATTCAAGGCCTTTTGAGGGGGCCTTTCATCGTATGCTTCCTTGACTGATTTTAGGGCCAATTTTGTGATTTTTAGGGTTGTCATAACTCATTTTCAGAGTTGGTTTAGCCATGCTAAGTGTCTATCTTGTATGTGCTTAACAACCCCTTGAACGGCCTTCCAAAGAAGCCCCTCATTTTTGCATGCATTGGCTGCATTTCAGTGATTATTTGGGTATATTTTGATATGTTTTATTCACTATTTTTGGCTAGTTTGATGAGTTCTCATTTGCTTCATATACGTGCCATGTAACCCATGCTTGCTAACTAATGTTGCATGCTATTTTAGTCCATCATGTTAGTATCTTTTGGCCATGCTTTAAACTGGAAATGTGCATGTTTTGGGACTTCCTTGGCTCTGTCTTTAGACTTCATGATCAAATAATGCTTGCTTTGTATACTTGTGGTTCAATGCATTGGACTAGTTTTGAGTTT